ATTTATCACCCACAAAGTAATGAGATGATTGAACGTTTTAATGCGACATTCGTTCCTCAAATTGTTAAACTTCAAGATCTAGAAAATAACAATTGTGATGAATTCTTATCACCAGTGATATTTGCTTACAACATTGGCATCCATGCAACGACTAATTATTCACCATTTCAACTAAAGTTTGGTCGAGAACCACGTTTACCTACTGATAAACCTTCTTCATCATTTACTTTCAATAAACCAAATGATTATTATGTACAATTGAAAAAAAATCTGTTGATAATACAACAACACGCACATGATAATATTATTCGTCGACAGCGACAATACAAGATTAATTATGATAAACAACGTCCAGGTCCACATTATGAAATCAATGATCCACTACTGATTAAAATTCATGGAATAAAGAAAAAATTAGAACCAAAATATTCGATTACACCAAAAATAATTATTAGGAAACAACATCCAATTTATTGGGTCAAAGAAGAAAAAACACCGGTCGAATCCAGAGTACATGTTAACGATATTCGACCTATTCTTATTTTAAATTCAATATGATATATTATTATTTAGTTATTTGCTAGTGATCATTAAATGTTAATGTTATGTTATGTTTATGGTAATTCGATGTTTGATCATCTTTGTTGTATGTTCAACGACTTAGTTGAACTAACATCGATTCATTATGCATGTGGAAATGTTGATATTTTAATTGGCGCGCATTAATTATCAATATAATTGTCATTTGCATATAGTGAGTATTAACAAATATTGATTATTAAAAATACAAACAAATTATACACAAGAAACCTTCTCTTTTAGAAGTGTTTCTGTTTTTAGCAAACGATGTTATTTCTCTTTTAACTTGATGTGCTTTATTAATATTTATCTTCATATATTAACGATATCTATTTATGTGCAATTTTGATAGGTTTATTCCTTTGAACGAGTGATAAATTATATGATTTATTTGTTTACCTTATTTATATTATTCTTTTTTTCTCTTCACTTATTTTATATCAATTTGTTTAATTTTCTTTTAGTTCATCATTACAATGTCAGATAAATTTATTCCATATCATTTATGTGATATTAACAATCCTCCAGCTCATCTTGATGACAATCAAAAATCGAATTGGACACGTGCTGCAAAAAAAGGCGAAGAAAAATTATCAATATCAACAACAATATCCAGCATTTGATATA